ATATATATATATATACGTATATATATATATATATATATATATATATATATATATATATATAGATTTTATATATATATATATATATATACGTCCTATATACGTCGTCCGTATATACGCATATATATATATATATATATATATATGATATGAGTTAGTGACCCTGAGATTCAAGCTTTTGCGATCATCAGACAAATTGGTTTTATTTTTAAAATTGGATCTATTTATGCCTGTTTGAATATGTTTAGTGGTAGGAAGGGGAATTTCCTTCTGTGCTTGTTCGAGATGACACTCTCATACACATACATATAGGTGTATGGATTTTTGTTCACACAAATGCATCCATGTAAACAATCCGAAGCCAGGCTTAGATACAGATCCATGGGCTCGGGTATATACATACATACACAATTTTAATTCGGTTTTCGATGTTGGGACGTGGCTTTTTATCTTTAGCGATGTTCGTTTCAACAAGGAGCGGTTAGGAGTGTTCTTGAAGTTTCTCAGATCCACCACCTGCATTGTGAGACATACTTACATTTTCTCACACACACATACACACATGTAGACGCGCACATACACTCTTATTGGCCTGGGTCTTTGGATTCTGTTTGTGGGTATGGTGATGATGATGTTTTTATTTTCAACGCTGACGGCTTGTGTATTATTGATGATTTTAGTTATGCTGATAGTGATAATAACTGTGATATTAATTATTATTAATATGTTAATAATAGTTGTTGATTTGTTAACAGTAAATGTAAACTTAATGATGATAGAAACGAAAGTATAATAAAAAGGAGGACAGTAATGACAATCTTGATTTTGATAATAGTTGTCGTAACCATGTTAATGATGATGATAATAATATTGATAATGATATTCATAAAAATAACAATAGTAAAAACAATGTTAAAAAGCAGTACTAATATTAGTGCAGATGGTTCTGAAGTGATTGCCGTATTGATAGTGAAAATAATAGTAGTAGTTACAGCTACAGCCGTACTAAAATCATAGCACAAATAATAAAAAAGCCACAACAAAAAAATAATAACTTGCAATGGCGTAATCAAAGCTCCCCAATGCATCAATTGCCTACAAACGAACATAGTACACAAAACTAAGGTAAACGCTGACAGCACTACAATGAACTACATTGGCGCCACAGAAGGAACATTCAAGCAAAGGAAATGCACCCACAATCTCTAATTCTTCAACAGAAAATACTTCAAGAGCACCACATTATCCACATGCATATGGCAATTAAAAGACAAACAGCATAACAAAAATAAGCTGGGAAATCATGAAAACAGCACCTGCCTATAATAACATATTAAAGAGATATCTCTATCTATCTCTCTTGATATATATATATATATATATATATATATATATATATATATATATATATATATAGTAATAATTTGTTATATTTAGTTGTTACATTTAGAACAACACTTACACGTCAGTTACAATAATATAACAAATTGAATCCTTGGCTAAATGGCTAAAAGTTTAGGTGAAAACGTTGGAGAATTTTGACATTCATTAAGCCCAGAAAAGAAAACACATGTAAACATACAATTCTGCAGGGTATTATTATTCTGATAGTTATTTTTCTTATGTATATCGTCTTTGTTGCAACTATTTGATATTAGATGCACCTTCCTGATATATGTTTCTCAGATTTGACAGTTTAGAAAATCTATCAGGATGAAAGCGAACAGGAAAGAAGAGAAAAACGAAGAGAAGGAGAAAGTGAACAGACAGAATTGAACATTAGACTTGTAAACACGCAAACAAATCTAAATGTACATATTTGCTTCATCGCCTGTGCGCTTAGCAGAGATTCATTAATGTATATGGCAAAGGGAATCAGAGAGAAAGAGAGAGAAAGAGTTCAAAATCTGACTTCATGTACAACGCACTTTAATAATTTGTACCTATTAGAGTTTTGGTAGCTGTCTTCCAAATATACATATCTAGTGTTAAAAAGGCAAACTAAACACAAGGGAAAAAGGCAAACTAAACACAAGGGAAAAAAGGCAAACTAAACACAAGGGAAAAAAGGCAAACTAAAGACAAGGGAAAAAAGGCAAACTAAACACAAGGGAAAAAATAAGACATATGCTATGTGTTATCCATTCTATGCTGAGTACAGTTCATTACAATCTTCTACACACAAAATGACTTGATTTGAAATGTATTGTATATAGCCTGCCACTCGTATTCGAGGATACCCTTCCACTAGGGTGGCTAGCCAATCCCTATTGCAAACGCTTGCTCAGGCACATTTGTGTTTATTCAACACCCACAGAGCCCACCTGTGGTTTATACCTCAACTTAGTTACTGTTTCTGTTATCTAGCGTGATCAAAAATTTGAACAAGGCCAGCACACTCAATCATCGGCCATGTGACTTCGGCCACGATGACTTGTGACTTCGTGCTAGCATAGCTATCGACAGCACCCAATGGTCCGTTTACCCAATTTCACTCACAATTCGGGTGTAACCCGTGGTATGGATTTCAGGCACTTTCCAAAGTTGTTGCACGCTGGGATTGACCTCCAGTCCGATAACATTTTTAACGATAGCAAATTGACCATGGTGAGATTCGAACCCGGGTCTCATGGCCATTTTTGAAATGTAAGAACAAATATAATGCATCAATAGACCTTGTTACTGTATACATTACTAACCTTGTGCCACATCTAAGCTACGCTTGGAAAATCACTACATTATTAACCTAATCTTGGTGCTTAGATCTTGGAATCTTCATAAAGGGTAACCCTTGACTTGCTCACAGATAAAAATCGTATCGTGTTTTAACAAACTAGAAAAATGTCACAATTGAATATTGGGAGCAGTGTCGCCACATCCTGCCATTAACAAATGAAATGCAAGACAGGCATAACGGACTCACATAAAATGTAAAATCTTAATTTAATTCAAGTTCTAATATAAACTTTATCAGAACTGTCTCGTCTTCTATGACCACCGTATATACAAAGCGTGATAAATAAATTGTCGTCTAAATTACGCAAAAATGAAAATAACACTGACATCTCATTTTAACAGATATATTTACAAAAATTACACCAAATACGAAAGAGTAAATATATTCAATAAAATCACCGTTGTTTTCAACCACGACATTCAGACGATTTCGCAACCTCCTGCGTCTTTTCTGGGCGATCTCCTAGTTTAAGTTGGTACATGCTACCATAATCTTTGCCTTCAGTTCATTTTTGGTGTTGCAAGGAGTTTTCTTGGTCTCTCCCTCATCTGCGCCCCACACATCGAATCAAGGAGGCTGCAGTCTGGGGAGTTAAGTGGCCAGATGTAAAGGGTGATGGGGTCACAGAAATTGTCTGACAGCCATGGCGAGGTTCTCCTGCTTGTGTGACATGGTGCAGAGTCCTGTCGCCATCAGCCACCCTCTTGACACAAGGCAACACTACCCCCTCGAGGCTCTTGATGTAGATTTCCGTTTTGATTCTGAGACCCTATGTGAAGATGAATGGAGGCATAACGTCGCCATCACTAGTGATCATTCTAAACACCTTCGTCATCACTATTAGACTCATCCAACTCTTTCTGAATTCTCTGCACTGTCCTCACATTTACACTCTGAAATGTTTGTATTGGAGCTTCTTTTGTGAATGCCAGACAGTACAGTATGCCATTTCCAAAATTCTGGCGGAGTGTATTACGCCATGATGATCTTTTTCTCACAGACTGTGCTCAAAGCTGACAAAATAAAAAAGCGCATGCGCGAAATTATATATATAAAATGGCGACAATTTACCCATCGCACCCTGTACTCGTGTATAAACCTACTTTATGTATCGTGCGGATATTTTTGTGAAAAAAAATAAAGATTTTTCATATAACGGGTGTACAAAGCGACCCCAACTTCTGAGCAATACGGGTAGTCCAATCGCAGTCAAATATTGCATTATTGCCTTACAGCAAAATGTTGAGGAAAACAACTTACCGTAAATTATCTAATGCAAATATTTAGATACCAAATATCATTTTGTTCTTGGACATACCTTACTATGACAATTCATTTTACCCTGGACTTACGTTCTACGTCAGTAGATTACGGCCACCGAAATGCACGATAGTGCACGATATTTAACCTCTTCAAAAACGTACCTGTGTATTGCGCGATCCACTATTTTTTACGTAAAAAAAACTGATGAAAAATACTCTTAATATACACTAGTATGTAGGTTATCTTCTGCTAAAGCAATTGGTGTTTACTACTTACATTATTTGGACAATTGTCCTCATCTTTGTCGCCATATTTATTACAACGAACTGAACCCTTTATTTCGCTCATTGGGGTAGACTGTTCTAGTTCCACGTGCCATGTCTAATGGATGTCAGTTATCAGTTATCTCATGTTAATTTCTCTCTCAAAGTTCTCCACCGCCTTAACCAGCTATTGAACTCACAGTCTTTGGGTCCTGTCACTGGATCTAATCCGCCTTTATTCACTGCGCCATGTGTCCTTGAGTGTGAGTTCAATAGCTGGTTAAGGCGGTGGAGAACTTGGAGAGGGAAATTAACAGGAGATAAATTATAACTGACATCCATTAGACATGGCATGTGGAACTAGAACACTCTACCCCAGTGAGCGAAATAAATGGTTCAGTTCGACCTTCCAATCACCTGAAGAAGGCCGGGGCGTACAACGGCCGAAACGTTGTAATAAATATGGCGACAAAGATGAGGACAATAGTCCGAATAATGTAAATAGTGTACATAATACTTCATCTCAGAAATATTGACAGATACGTTTGGTGTTTGCATTGTATTTATTATTGAACTTGTTTTATTATTGAACTTTTTTTATAATTGAACTTGATTTATTATTGATTTATTATTCAAACAGAATGTAAGACATGTAAGTAAAAAAAAAAGCATTTGTTTTTAATTTTGTTCCTATTTCACTGAGCATTTTCAACCTTGCCATTTACACAACTTTCCCACAGTCAATAACTCGGGTAGCAGGTGTACCTGATTCGCTGTTCTTACTTCTCCCCCGAGATGCCAGTGATGCAGCTCAATCAGACACCGACCAGACAAGTTTATCTGATAGAGTCAAAGAAAACTATCGACTATAAACACAAGTATTTGAGGGCCAGGACGTGTCAGCATACACGTCCGATTATCTCGTAACCCATGTGTCCATCGCTCACATATCTCATTACATCAACAAAACTCCGAAAATAACAGCAAATAAAAGCAAACAAAAAAAATAAAAAAATAAAACGACCATCAGACAAAGGTAAAACAGGACTAAATACAAATTTGTGGCAATGAAAACAGAATTGGAAACATTCTTGAGAGATTTCCAAAACAGCTCAAAGTCGAATAGGAACAAAAACATAAAAATAAATAAATAAAAAAAATAAAAGTGTAAATAAAATAAAACTAGAAGAAAAAATAAATTAAAATAAAACTTTCTTAAATGTAATTAAATATAAATTGGTACTGAAAAGCTAAAATTTTTCACCTCATTTTTTTTTCAGAGCTCTAAAAAATCCATCGTGTAACAACAGATATACAGTAACGCAAAGTTTAGCAATGCAGGGAGTGGAATCGGCGTGCCGAGTTCAAATCTAAGCCTAGTCACTTCACGTTCACTTTAATCTATTTAGAAAAAGACATGATCCCATCCTTTGCCGTTTCAGCTACAGATTAAACAACAGGCTAAACTGAACTCTTAACGTTGAGTGGGAAACAGACCTAAGAGACGGAATAAGGAGCTGCAGAATAAATTATTGTATACTACAGGTTTAGCGATTATCTACCGCATTGGAAAAATATGAATAAGTTAACAAATGAATTGTCAAAAGATTAGAGACCGTATTCACCTCTTTTGGGGAGATGATCGGATTCCTGTGTGATTTAGAGAGGCTACGGATCTCGTCTGTTGTGCAAGCTGTTGGATGATCTGCAATGGTGTGAGAAATGCCCTGTTGTACCACAAAAATAAAAGGAACGTTCGGTGTACTATTTCGTCCTCACGAGATTTACAACCTATTAACAACAATCTCTTAACTACTACTGTTCCTAGGTTCACCCTGACCCGGAGAGATAGTACCTGTTAAGGACCTAGTTATGGGCAAGTGAACTCAACGGAAAAACAAATCAACAGAACATTTTTATAATAAAATGGCCAACAATATATTCTTATTGCAAAATGACTATCAATGAATCTCTAACAAAAATATAAATTTACATTCTTATCGTAAAATTACCAACAATATATTTAAGAAACTTCAGCCTATACATCTAAAAAACATACCTTTACCTAGAAAGTATCCATTTATGTACAATATATCAGTAGTTAATATCATAACATTACGTACAAATGTTTTAGGTTTCGGCATTAAATAACCCATACAGGTGTTGATATGCCACTAAACAAAATCAACCAGACAAAACCAATCCAAATATTTAGATTTCGGCATTAAATAACCCATAGGGGTTGATATGCCGCTAAACAAAATCAAACCAGCTGACATATTCAACAAATACAACTCATTTATGGACATTCCAGGCTATCTACAGAATCGACCAATTCTGTCACATGGTGTATAGCCGCCATTTTTCAGATGAAGGGAATCTATAGACATTATTAAAACAATGTTTATAACAATGACAACTCTCGTCTTATTCTCTGTTTCAATCCGGGTCACCTTAATTCAAAATACGAGAAGTCTTTGGGGACCAGTTGTTGGGAGATAAAAGTTGGCGCGTTTTCACACGAGTCAATGTGTGTGTGGGGTGGTGGTACGTTACAACTTTTTGTTTGAACGAAGCTTATCCTATAGTGGGTGTGCCAATTTGTATTGGTTATAAATAGAAATAAAAACTGACCCTCTACTATTTTTACAATATCAAATGTAACAAAGACAACAACAAGAGAAATGATCAAATAGAAGAAATTGTGAATTTGTTCAACAATTAATATTTTTATAAGCACAACAAATACATAATATACAGTGAAAAAGTTGATAAACACAATAGAGTTCTTTGGTGTGAGTGTTACTGAAAGAATTTGAGTTACTGTACTGTATGTGTGAAAATGAGAAAGTGTAGTTAGCTATATTTGTTGTTATAGGAAAATTAAACAGTTGTTTTTTTGTATTAAATAGAAAGAATATTGTCTTGACTCACTGATTGTTATAGAGTTATCGCTCTTTAACCGGAGATTCTTGTTGTGGAATAGAATATTTTGTAGGAGTGAGCGTTAAGCCTGGAGATGGTTGACAAAGTTTGTTGTTGTATTGAAGATAAAGTTCGTCTCCTTTGCTGTGTTGATTTCCAATGAAGTCAAGTGAATTGGTTCAATATTTTAAGTGCCCACTGACCAAGTCGCGTCGAAGTTTCGTTTTTATTAGTTCTCTTGGTCACGTGGTGAGGCTAGTGAACATGTTTACATTTTATGGCGTCAACTAGAGGTCAAAATTTGGTTCGGTACCTTCGGACCTAGTTGACGACACCTAATTAATATTTTACAACCAATCAAAATGCATCAGTCGTTATATTTGATTGGGAGCCTCTATGTGCTTAACTTGCACAAAATTTAAGATTTAAAAAAAAATGTAGGAATCTGATTCTACAATCCCCAATCTTCTTACTCCGATTTAGTTTTTTATTACTCAAGTAAAAATGCTAAAGGTTATTAGATTTAATGTTATATTTATTTGCGCATACCACTTGCCTGGGTTTCTGTATTTTTCAGTCGTTTTTCTACTCTTTTGTCTTAGGTTTTTGTTTTGATGAGAAAAGATAAACCAGTTTCGACATTTCCATTTTACGGAAATATATAATTTTGGTTATAGCTCCTCTTTTATTTTTGTTATGAAATGCTTCCTTTTTTGTCATAAATTGATTTTTAATGTATGTTTTATTTCTCACATAAAAATGGTTCCTTGATCTCTTCTTCAACAGTTCTAAATTGTCATATTTTAATGGCACCCACTAAAAGAGAGTCTCTGCTGTATATCTTTTAAAGTGTTCTTTAGTGATTAGCAAAAATACTGAGTGTTTAATATTTCGTTAAAGAAAAGGTTAAAAATTCCTGAGAATTCAATATTGGTTAATGCAAACGCCCAGTTTATTAAGTAAAAAAAAAAAATTAAAGCGATTTTATTTAACAGTCTATTGTGGTACCATCTGATGTCCTTAAGACAATTTCCTGATATTATTTTCGAAGAATCTTTTATATTTCACGTCAAAGAACAGGTCTGTATTGCTTTTGAAGATTTACACGGTAATGAATTTTAGTTTAATTAAGAGAGTTCAACCCACTTTTCATCACTTGCCACGATATATTTAAGCCACGGTTAGCTAGGGCGATACATTTGTCATTACATTTAGTGTTTAAATCGGAATTTACTCAAACTAATATAACAGCTGCCTCAATACAATTAAAACTGATTTACGGAATTCAGTTTATTAAATATAATTTTTTTCCTAATGCAATGTAAAAAGAAAACAGAATGTCTTTTGGTGATATAGATCTATAATTGTATCACTTCATTCACTTCGTTTATATTTGCAATTTTTAAACTTTCTTGTTATAAATTTTTGTCTACACATATCATTCCTTTTTTGCTCATATGTTCTTTTTTAACTGCGTGTTTTGTGTATGTTTTAATTGTGGTACTGTTTTGAATAAATCTGCTTTGTGTTTCTTAATTATCATTCTGTTGATCGGAGCCTGACACCTCATGGAAGTTTAATAAAGATACGCGAGTTCAATCTCTCCATTTGGCAATGCAATTCGCGTAATGTGTCACCTTTCGATAATTGGAAAATCACACCCGTTTGAAATGTCATCGTGAGACCGTCGTCGCGACGGCCCTAGAATTGCCTGAAAATATCAACTTGCCTATAATAAATTACTTTCTAATTAACACAGTGATACCCAGAGACTGCATAATAACAGAATCCGCAATCCTGCCTTTACTCCTTTTAAGTGAATCACACGGGGGCAAGCAGTGGTCTGAGCGTCGATTACTGTCAATGGAAAAAAAAAAAATTCGGCAACTTGATGTCGACATGGGTCCTCGAATGACTAGAGATGATATCTACTACTATATTGATATTTTTATGACATACTTTAAATCAAGATTTTAATTATCACAGCTTATCATTTATTCTGTTGATTTATTAGGCTATAGATTGAAAATCTGAAAATAATGTTATTAATATAAGAAAGTAGGCTAACGAAAGAAAAGAAAAAGAAAAGGCAGGCTTGTTGGCTGGTTGGTTGGTAAGAGTTAATTCTTCTGTTGCTTCTATGTGCCGTGTCACTTCAGGACATTGGGCGATCGTGGCTCTCCACAGCTTCCTATCTGTCGTGTCTTTTCGAAGCGTTATTCCTTTGTTCAAGTCTCCCGTTCTGCCATTCATTCACAGGAACAGATTAGATAGATAGATGGCTGCCTTCCCCTATCTCGCTTTCTCTTGATATACACTGTGTGTATCAAATTCTCCAAGCCCACATTCCGGATTGTGTTCATGGAATTTCAACTTTCTCTTTATAATTCTGCGTATAAGTGTTTATTTACTTTAAGACTTCCATTTTGCATACCCTCTCAGTACAAGGAATTCTTACTATCCTTCAATGAAACTGCATTTATGTTGCTTTCCGTTTTCTTTTTCTCAGAGAACTGATATCACGTAGCAGTTCAGCCATGTTTTCTTTGTCTCTAACGACATTTCCTCTTTTTTTTAATACTTTCTTTCGCTTTTTTGAAATACGTATTTTGCGAATCCGATACGCATTCGTTTTTCGGTGCCTCCTTTTACATCCTTCGTTCTGAAACTTCCCAGATATTTAAATTTCTATACTTATTTGCCGTAGTTCGCATCTTGGGTTTTTATTCTCTTATTGACAACCGTAATTCTTGTATATTTTACAGTTGATGGCTAATCTTTTTTTTCTCGCTTTCCCTTCCTATCTTGCCGTCCTGGGTGAGACGATAAATTAAATCAGGTAGTAAGGCCTCTGATTGAGAGGTTTTGAGGAGCGTGGAACCAAATCTTAATTGCTGTTGTTCCCAGGTGAACCTTGACTCTAGCACTTGTTAAGGGTTCCCAGCTT